AGCTGAACTTTTTTTGCGTCACGGAGCGGATCATGATTCGCATAATTGGTCGGAGAACATGTCCCCACTTCATCATGCAGCCAAATGCGGCTTTGTGGAGTTGGTTGAACTCCTCATCTTGTACGGAGTAGTCGTTGATGCAAGGGATAGGAATATAAGGACACCATTGCACAGGTAGCTAATTTGGGATATTTGTGGAAAGTTTTTAATACTTTTTCTTTACCCTGCATGGATTACCAGTTTCGTGCAACAGAGTGTAAATTTAAGATTGAGGGTAGTCGACAAAGCACGAAATCTAATCACAGCATGACTGTGTAAGTTAAATGCCTTCTGGCCTTAGAGTCAATCTGAATGGGAACATGGAAACGAATGTTCACATATAGAATGAATTCATTTTGAGTTTACAGCATTTGCCTTTTCGTCTCCAGTTACTATTGAGGAGAATTTCGTATTTAGGACCAAGAGAAAATAAGGTGATTTTCTGTTGATAGGACAGAATTGCATAATATTCTGTGAAAATCATCTCTGACATTGCATAGCAGAGAATCAAAAAAATTGTTTAATCCTTTTTTGAGTAAGTTTTTTTTTAATTCTTTACTTCTTCTTCCTCTTTTCAAATTGCCAATAATTCGGTTGAGCGTCTCTTCAACAATTTTCTTTCTGGCTGCGGAGCTCATTTATGATAACTTCGGTGTACTATCAACCACAATTTTTAATGATTAACACATTTTTCTTGTTTTTTGATGAAAATTTAGTGCTGCAACATTTAATCACGTTCGAATAGTCGAGCTACTTGTGGAGAATGGAGCAGATCTAGAGACCAAAGACCAGTTATCGATGACGCCTCTGCTGTTGGCAGTGAGCCATGGAGCATGCCACACTGTGAAAGCTTTGTTGGACTGCGGAGCAGATATAACCGCAGTGGACTCTTCATTGAATAGTTGCCTTCATTTGGCAGTAATCTTCAATAAGCCGGAAATGGTGAAGCTATTATTAGAAAGGGACGGAGACAAATTGATAAGATGTAGGGAAAAAGACTTGAAGACAGTGTTTCATTTGGCAGCTGTTCTGAAAGATCCAAAGGTACTTACTGTAACATGGCAGCTTTTCCCAACGAAACGGCGATGTCAGCCACTCAGGGGTTATATGGTCTTTCCTAACCAATTTCCACTATAGCAATAGCATTGTACCCCAAAGAAACCTGAAAGCGGAGACGACCGAGTCCCGCATTCTGGCGAATTAAAAGAAACGAACAACTTATACTTTGCCCTCCAGGAACTAACTGAATAAATTTGCAAACTTTTTGTTTGTCTCTTTAGATTCTGGAAATTCTCGTTCAAAAGGCGCCGAAAACGGAGGAATATTTTTGCCTGCGGGACGCACAGGAGAAATTGCCTATTCACGATGCCGCTGCAAGTGGATCCCTTAATTGCTTGCGGGTTCTCACTCTTTGCCCTTTTCTTCTAAATGAGAGAGACAGCGAAGGAAGTTCGCCTCTTCATTTAGCTGCCAGCAACAAGCACACGTGGGTACCCCTTATGATGTTTTGTTTAAAAAATACTCCAACGTGCTCACT